CCCACCACTGTATATATGTCTTGTAATGTCTTCGATCAACTCGCCTCTTTTTAGTTCTTTGAGAATATCTATTCCTTCAGACATCAGTACCACACTTTCCAAGCGTTTTTGAACCTCGTCCGACTTCTAAAATCGTAATCTTTGAAAAATGACCTCTTGACCGAGGCTGGAATCACAAGAACAATCCAGAAAACTGGTGGACTATTTTCAAAACATTCTTTTTCGTTGAGGATTTCCTTGTACAGACGAACAATACCAAGGATTGTCTTGTACAAATGAACAGTAGTAAGGATTGCCTGGTACAGATAAACAATACTAATCGCTTCATCTTTTTCCTTCACATTATCTTAGTCATCTAGATAGATAATCTTAGATCTTTGTGAGATGCTAATTTCTGCATACAAGATATCAATATTTACATAGTTCCTGTTATATCGTAACCTTTGAGTTGTAGGTTTTATATATGCCAACGCAACATCTATCTAACTATTTATTATTGATTCAAATATCGTAATTTGTGTAAAATCGCGGATATTTACTGATTAAAACGATTTATAATACCCTCTAACATTAGATCAATCACCTAAAAATATCGTAGAGGCAAATTACTCAATACCATTGGTCAATAAACATTGCGAAAATTAAAAAGACTATATATTTAAAGTTACACAATATCAGTACTTGTGTTGATGCATGGTTATGTACTCATACTGGCAGAGGCGCAGGATTTTCAAGAAGGGTTGTTCAGACAGTATTTATAGCCTGAGGTACCCCACATATGATATTAATCCAGTTTGACTGAACGCCATTCGTAACAACCCTCTTCTTTCTTCCATCCAGCCACTCTTCTGTCCAGTTAGCTAACTTATCTCCCACAGCTACAGAGATAATTTTTACAAGCCTTTTATGTGGCACCTTGTGAAAGGCGTTCTGAAAATACAGATACATCAAATCTACACCCTCACCTTCATCTACATAAGCAGTAACATTTTCAAAGAATGTCAAAATATTTTCTCTTAGTGAAACCATGTTGACTATCCAATAAAATTCTAAACTTTGTTAAATGACCTTGCTTAAAGTCTTTTATCAGATTTTCCAAAACTTTTCCCACAACTGATGTAACAGTAAAAAAACCTATAATTACCTCCCTCGAAAGAAGGAGTGACATTAACTAACTTCCAATCTTTTGGCACGTACCCACTATTCAAGGGCTTACGAAAAAATAGTAGCAAATGGCTTGCATATCCAATCCTTAACTTCCTTTAAAATAATGATATGACCTCCGCAACTATTGTGCCCCTTTCCTTCTTAGTTTGTATTTCAACAAGTGTGACTAAAGTGTATGGTGTATTGTAGTAACATCATTTCTCTGCAAGTTTAATGTAACATGAAGTGTATGGTGTATTGCAGTAACAGCATTTCTCTGCAAGTTTAATGTAACATGAAGTTTATGGTGTATTGCAGTAACAGCATTTCTCTGCAAGTTTAATGTAACATGAAGTGTATGGTGTATTGCAGTAATAGCATTTCTCTGCAAGTTTAATGTAACATGAAGTGTATGGTGTATTGCAGTAACAGCATTTCTCTGCAAGTTTAATGTAACATGAATGGTATGGTGTATTGCAGTGACAGCATTTCTCTGCAAGTTTAATGTAACATGAAGTGTATGGTGTATTGCAGTAATAGCATTTCTCTGCAAGTTTAAAGTAGCAGAAAGTGTATGGTGTATTGCAAGACCAAGAGTTTCCGGTAGTTTTTTTCAGCGTTAAAGTTTTCCTTGAACCAAGAAGCTCCTGTTGCTTGACAAATATGTTATGCTGTTTTGGACATCGTTTGATAAATACATAAAGATTTTGAAGTATTCCAATAAACTCTCATGGTAATAATTGCTAATGCTGATGGAAATGTGTCACTAAGTTTGGTTAATAATACTTTGTACTGATTATACTTTTCTGGCACCATCGTATAGCATTGACATCGAATATTATTTGCATCCAAACCATGTTCTTTAAGCTTATTGGTGATATAATAAAAAAAAGATATTGTGTTGTTGTTTCATCAACTACCACAAACGACAGCAACATCTCTTCCACATTTCCACTATATTACATAATAAGTGAAAGTTGTTCCTGATGTTCATCTGCCATAAAAGAAGTATATAACAGACTGGATAACATAACTGGATATTAATTACTGAATAGTTTCGACTGCTAATCTGCTTCTGTTGTCAGGGACGTCCTGAGAAGGATTATTTCTATGTTGGTAGTGGCCGAGATTTAATTATGTATCTTCTTGATGGAAGTCTGAGGTTTTCCCCTCAGAAACAGAAAGAAAGACAATACCATATCAATTGTACCAGCAGACAGTATAAAATCAACCATCTCCTCAAGAAACACTAAAACTAACTGTAAATCAAATTGCCACCCCACATATCTATAGTCTACCTAAAATTCACAGGCAAGGCTACCCTCTACATTTCATAGCTAACTGCATAAATTTACCATGTAACCCCTTAGCTAGATATCTGGTTAACATAGGATCTGGTGGTTAGGGCGCTCGACTCCCAATCTGCGGGTTACGAGTTTGAATCCCCGTCACCAAACATGCTCGCCCTTTCAGCCGTGGGGGCGTTATAATGTAACGATCAATCCCACTATTCGTCATTAAAAGCGTAACCCACGAGTTGGCGATGGGTGGTGATGACTAGCTGCCTTCCCTCTAGTCTTACACTGCTAAATTAGGAACGGTTAGCCCAGATAGCCTTCGAGTAGCTTTGCACGAAATTCAAACCAAAGTTAATATCATCATTAACAAGTAAAACATCCTCACATGTATATAACTCAGCCAACCTTGTACATATAAAAATAACCATCATAACCTCACACGAAACAATGATTATATTCAATAAATCCACCTTTTCACTAACGTATCAACTCGTGACGCACTACAGCTTGAAGGTGATAGAACTCTCGAGAATGTTGTTTTATCGGCAAAGCTTCACAGAGAGCTGTCTGCATTCTATACACCATGTGCAATCAAACCCCGGTCATTAACTTTTTAAGTCCCGTAAATCTCTTAAGGAACTAACTCGACTGATAATCTCCAGAATAATAGAATCACAACCTGCTGTATCATTACATCCTACTTACAATATGAAGATACGTACTACCAACAACAAGTGGATCTATCTACGAATACATCACTATCATCATTGCTCAATAACTTCGAAATTAACGCCCTCATTACAGCCGCTCTATGCTCTAAGGTATGTTTTTGATACACTCACACTACTGACAATGTTCAAGGATTCATGAACCACCTGAACAAACAAAGATCTTGCGATATAACTCACTATGGAAATAGAAGTAGATAACAGGTTCACGTTTCTTGTCGTGACAGTTATTAATACATATAACTCATGTACCATAGTAATTTACAGTAAATCCATAAGTATGGGTAAATACCGCGACTATAAATCAAACCACTCCAACAGTGTAAAGAAAGGCACCATAGACTGCCTAGTTTCCAGAATTAACAATATTTATAATACTGAAGAAGGAAGAAAAACAAATCATTGCAACCCTCCTTAACAACGTATACCAGAACAATTAATAAAGAAGATAAACAGGAAGAAAATTACAGACATACAGTTATATTCCCCTGCGTCAGCGGTCTTTCTGAAAAGTTACAGCGGATATGTAAATAAAGTCAAGTCTGTATAGAAACCATAATCATATAAAATTGTAGTTAGTAAGCATCAAACCATTCTGACCCAATAGAGAAAGAAAGTAGCATTTGCAACATCTCTACGTTGAATTTATAATATAACCTGTATGGCTTAATAAAAATGTAGTAATCTTCAAATTATCTACTTATTTTTTATGCCAATCACTACCGGTAGGGTCCACATACTGCTTCATATTATGTAATTTTATGTTTTTCCCTATTACAGAACAAGACCAGACCAAAAATTCTCTATGCAAATCCCTGCAATAATTAGTGGGATTAATTGCAATGTCGATGGTGTTTTTTAGTAAACATTTATTGAGTGACTCATCAGTTATTAGGGACTTTATAACCACCAAAGTCATGGGTGTACAAGCAGTTTGCTGCATTAATAACTTCAGAAAATATGTTTTAAAAAGACAATGGTGTTCATACTCCAACGGTAATTCTAGGGGTTGTTTTGTTTAATTGCGCTCAAAGCTATACGAGGGCTATCTGCGTTAGCTATTCCTAATTTTCAGGTAATAGACTAAAGAGAAGGCAGCTAGTCAACATCACCCACTGCCAACTCTTGAGCTACTTTTTTACCAACAAATAATTGGATTGACCAATACGTTATAATGCTCCCACGGCTGGAAGGGCGAACATGTTCGGTGACGGGATTCAAACCTACGACCCGCAGATTGCGAGTCGAGTGATCTAATCACCAGACCATGCCAGGCCTAATTCTAGGGTTAGTTGATAATGCGTTTTTTTGTGTGTATTTTTTAAAGTATTGGCTTGGAAAAGTGTAAGTGCTTTAGAAAATACTTTCTTAAAATATTAAGAACTGAGTAATAAATTGTATTTTGTTCTTATTTTCTTACACGTTATATGTCGATATATGTAATAGTATTAAAAAATTGACATATAGTTGTAACATACGAAGAAGTTAAAGCGTATTTTTCTTTACATTAGCATTACGTACAGCAAAGTTTCAAACGTACTAAATATGCAGAAGTATATCATAAAACATTATTGAGCCTTTAACAACACCTATCAAAACATAAGATGTGGTAAACAAAATGGAAAGTATAATTCAACAAAATATTTTATAAATGTCTAAATGTTTAAGTACAGTAAAGAACAATTGCTAATATTTATATATATATATATTTAATAGATTAGATTACGAAATGAAAATAATGCACGTTCATCGGAATGTATGCACCTGAAATTATAGACAAATAAAGTTGCTGAATAAAGGTAATTCATGGGACAAAAAAAAAGTACTTTAAATAATCTAGTCAGATTTTATATTTTATAAGAGTAAGGAGAGAGAAAATAGAAGTTTTAGATATTCTTGTAACAGTGATAAATACGATTATACATATAAAGTAAACTTAAAAGAAGATAGAATAACATTAAATGTGATTAAGTATGAGGTGTATCAAAATATAATTCTACAAAAAATGTTTGTGCATTTGTTTTAGAGCAAAGCCACATTGGGCTATCTGCTGTGTCTACCGCGGGGAATCGAATCCCGGATTTTACCGTTGTAAGTCCGTAGACATACCGCTATTCCATCGTGGGTCATTGAAAAAAATAATTGCTTTACAGAGCAGTATTTTTAGAACTCAGAAAAGTCAGATTTGAAGGAATTAGATTATTTAAACTCTGGAGAATGAATAAATCATTTGATGGTTTATTATAAACTTTTTCATTGTTGTTTTGCCTATGTTATTAATCCAATTTACTGTATAATAAATGTATTCATAAATCAAAAATTGGCTCACCAACTCGTGTAACCGTAGAACTTCTTGTTGGAGCCTAGTTAGGCAGGTAACCTGGGCTTGATATGCTTCTAAGCTTTTCTGTTTCCTGAAATAATGTTAAAAAGATTTATTACACTCCTTCTAATATATTTACTTTCATATCTACTTGTATCTGCGTAAATAATGTGCATTAAATTTAGAGAAATTTAGCACAGTTATTTGCCTAAACCATATATATATATATATATATATATGTTGTTTCAAAACCTGAAGCAATTGTTATAACTCTTCACGCTTGATTATATCAGTCCATTTTGTGAATGGTCGTCGTTGACGTGCCACAAACTGACATACAGTTTCTCCAGTGTCAGGTTTGACTTCTCTGAACTTCCAGCAAAAACCTTCCTCAGTAAGTTCATAGCATTTCAGCAAGACTACTTTTAATTTGTCATAGTCCATGGCATCTTCTGATGTCATGCCTGCATATACTTGTAGGCTATTTCCTGTGAGAAGGGGTCTGAGACATACTGCCCAGTTGCCTTTGTCCCAGTTCTGACTTTGGGCAAATCTTTCCTACCTCTCCAGGATAGCATTCATGTTATCTTTCTGTTCATTAAATTTGGGCAGCTTGGGTCGGCCATTGTCATTCTTGGGTCCTTCATTTTTCTGTTAAGTGAGCTTGTCAATCTTAGTTTTAGCTCTTATTCTCTCTACTTCCAGTCTCTCCTTCTCTTCTTTCTCAATTTGTACTCTTATTCTCTCTATTTCCAGGCTCTCCTTTATCTCCCTTTCTCTTCTTGTATTATCATTCTCTCTTCCTCTCTTCTCTGTTGACGCTCTTCTCTTTCTAGGTTATGTTGTTGTTGTTGAACAAACTCTCATGGATCGCTATCTTTGAGCTCAAGTCGCTCACCTCTCTTTACCCACTTATCAAAGTTTGTCGACATTGTTAAATAGCGTGGTTGTAATCTCTACAATATTTTCCCCACCACTACAGCAGTGCGTATATTGGCCCATTTCCGCTGTCATTCACGTCTTCTACCACCATTTACCATTGTATAATCCTGGCTGGTTTGCCATATGTCAAGTTTTTATGTATATGGATAGGTAGGCAGGATTCTTTACTGTGTACTGTTTGTTTATTGTGGAAATTTATCGCCAACAAGTCACAGACACCTAATGTAAAGAATCCTGCCCACCCATCCATATACATATAAACCTGACACACAATCTGTTTGTTTTTATTCAGTTTAAACACGATTTTGTCTATCTTGGCAAAGTGAATACTGCTTTCTCTTTCTATCCTAGCATACAGATTTTTATAAACAAACCTTCCAATTACAAGCATGTATTCAATAGTTTGTTTGTTTGTTGTTAAATACAAAGCTACACAATGAGCTATCTGTGCTGTGCCCACGACGGGTATCGAAACCCGATTTTTATCTGTATTCAATAAAGACTATTTTTGTTTACATACTTGTTTCGAGTCCTTCCTTCAGTTTCGATGTTCGATTTATTCTCTCCAACATATTTCTTTGTGAACTTTACGTTCACGGACCTAATACTTGTTGGTTCCAATTTTACATGAAAATACTACAGATTGTTGTTAGATATCGAACCAAATATCTAAATCAGTAACTTCGATTAATGAATCATTATTCTTAACGATTAAATATTTACTATGCACATTAAATTTCTCTTAAGACATCAGTGAATGGAGATTGTTTTAATATATGATTTGTCGAAGGAACAGATAAAAAAGTTGGTCTCTAACTCTTCTCCAGTTGATGAAGCTATTTGTAATATCCATAGGTAAAATATTACAAGATGTAAGAGAAATAACAACTACGGAAAAACGTACGTTCCGAACACGCTTTGAAAACTTCTCTAAGTTGTTCATAGCAATACTAGTCTGCTTGTAGTTGCTATTTGTCAACAATGAGAAATAAAACTTATTTTACAAATTTTTGTCCACCACACCCCGTTCCTATGGTGACTCTGCGGTAAACACAATAGTTTTTAACACAAAATTCGTTTAATCCCTGCACTGGGCACAGCACAGGTATTGTGTGGCTTTGTGTTCAACTTACAAACAAACAATAAAATGCCTTCCACAACGGAAATACGAAAAAATATTACTTTCAAAATTTTCCATCAATACACACATAATACTTAAATGTTAAAGTTATGGTAACGGTTGGGAGATAAAGCGAATTGTTACATATTTAAAACTGGAAAAAGTTTGAATAAATAAACTTTGGAATAAATTAATTTCGTCTTGATTCTTGACTTCGTTTCACGCCGCTTTTGAGAATTTTTATTTCTTCAATTATTTCGTGACGTAATGACCACACAGTGTCATTAACGACCATTTCATCAACACGGTGGTTTACAGGGAAATTTTAAGCGTTTAATAATGAGATTGTTCATCAAGTTTATGAGCTTAAACAAAATAAGAACAATGGATTTTACAATAGTGTTGTGTTATGTAATAAACTGACATCCTCACTCTGGCATGTTAAACCGTCTATATTATCGAACTTATGTAATCGATCATTTACAGCCACGTCGGTAGTGTGTAAGTAAGGGCATTTGGCGTTAATGTGGTGTATATATATATGTTTTCAAAACATACCACTTTTCAATTTCATCTTCCATGGCTGCCAGAGCTTCGGTAGTGTGTAAGTAAGGGCATTTGGCGTTAATGTGGTGTATATATATATGTTTTCAAAACATACCACTTTTCAATTTCATCTTCCATGGCTGCCAGAGCTTCGGGTCTGTCCCATTCTGTTGTCCCAGGGAGAGAAGGGTAGTGACCTGAGTGATAATATTAATATACTTATTAGACATTTTTTAAATTCCAAAATCGCGTTTATTTTACAAACGTTTTGCTAAGTTCCGATCTCACGAACGTAATAACATAAACATCCCCGCAATTACGAAAGACGTAATTTATAAATAACAATAATATATACTATCCAATCATGAAGTTAGTACTTACGTAACGATGCATGCGCGTGTATTTGATAAATAATAACCATTACCATTAGGGAGTTTTAATTGTTTTTTATCACAAAATAATTGTTACTTCAAAAGCATTGACGAGTGACTTTGGTTATACTGAATAACTAGTGGCATATAAAACTATTTTCACTGCAGAATTAACTTTCAAATAAAACAAACAACTGTAAAGACGCAAAAATTATATCTGTTTATCCAACTATTTATTTGTTTGACTTTTTGTTTGTTTGTTTGTCTATTCGTACGTCTACCATCTCTTTTATTTTTATATCATTAGTCTGTATTGGATTCTGAAACTTACCATCAAAAGGCGGGAGGTAAGTCATCAATGTACAATCATTCCAGGATTCATCCACTTCCCTAAAATAAAAATATAAAAACAACAGAAAGAACCATTAGTGAGTCGTACAGCCGTTTCTTTACCCAATAAAAACAATTACATAGCTGGAAAGAATGAACAATCTTCCCTGTTATATATTCGGTTGCCACAGAAACCACAAAAAAAGGAGTGTGTGTGTGTGTGTGTTTTGCGCAAAGCTACACGAGGGCTATCTGTGCTACCCGTCTCTAATGTAACTGTGAAAAAACTGGAGAGAAGGCAGCTACTCATCACCACCCACCGCCAACTCTTGGGCTACTCTTTTACCAACGAATAGTGGGATTGACCATCACATTATAACGCCCACACGGCTGAAAAGGAGAGCATGTTTGGTGGGACGGGGATTCGAACCCGCGAACCTCAGATTGCGAGTCAAGCGCCCTAACCACCTGGCTATGCCGGGCCCCACAAAAAGGAAAACGCGTTTTTAACTGTGTTTGTAATTAAGGCGTTCTGTTAGGTGAACTGACAAAAGGTTATTAGGAATATGACTGACTCATTAGTGGTGTCTGTTATGTGTGAAAATTGATTGTCAATAGAACGTAAAAATATTACCTGAACTTGCTGTTGAGTATGATATCATCAGTGAAACCATTCTTAATGAAGAATTGCACTGTCGAGTTGTTAGCCCTAACTACCAAAGCATCATAAGGACCAACCACCGAAGGACTTTTTAGTTTCTGAAATGAAGTCAAAACTATCTTCAGAAATTAGTGGGTAGAAATAAAATAGTTGAAAAATTTTAATCGCATACGTTTTAATAACTGGAAAACTTGCTGATTTACCCTCGACAGCAGGTAAAGGACGTTGAAACTTACCAATAGTTCCATGTAATAGGACAGCTGAGGAGAAGCTGTTTTGCTAAAACGCAACCTCGTCTTCTTGAATCAATTTTTTGTTGTTGTTGTTATTGTTGTTTATTTTATGGAACTAAAGAGGGCTCTACAACATTTGTGGCTGCTTAAGTCAATTTAATTTTTATGTACATTACTACATTTGTGTTGATCTTCTGATTTATCCAATTATAGATATAAACAAGTTTATATAGGAAAGCTATACAGGGGCCTTACAAATAAAATGTACGCGAACCCTTGTTATCAACGGCAAAACACATTGAATATGTCTAAAGTTTATGTATATATAAGGATTGGCCTGTACGTCGAATAAAGATTTTGTTAGAGATGGAAACTCCCTTTTTTCTCTTTTTGTCTGTTTCTTCTTTTGAGACACCAGGGGACCTTCGAGAAAAGATCCAAGATACTTCCATGGAATGTTGGTAGTAAGCATGATACAGATTGCTTATTTCTCAAGAATAACAGCCTCTAAAATGACGTCATTATGGAATACAACCTTGTAGAACCTCAAGAGTAAAAATTGGCAAATGCTGAAAAGCCATCAGGTGTAATTATGACGGCTGTACTTTGAGTAGTTATTGGTTAAGCAAAAACTTGTATGTTAATTTCCAAATACAAAGAAAAGCTTATCTTGCATGGTCACATTTCACAAAGTTAATACAATTTCCACATTTTATCTAACAAAACATTGCTGAAATTCATTGAATTCCTCAACATAAATCAAGGAACTATTATTATATAAAATCACATTTGAGTGTTTAAAATGTTAAAATACAAAATAAAAACTTCGAACGTACCTCGAGAAGAAAGTTACCTAAACCACATTTTCTGAATTTCTTCCGAACTGACAACAAAATCAAAGACACCACTTTTGACCCTGGTATTCTGAAAAAAAATCTCACATAGTAATTAAAACTATACTTTCCCAAGTTCGACAAAAGCGAAATAGCTACGACAATATGACAAAAATAGATAATTAAAAATTGTTAATTTAAAAAAGAGTGGATAGGGATCGTCAAAAAAAATTACAGAAACAAGTTGAATCAAAATGCAAAGATTATATTTTCCGGCCTACTATTAGGGATTCTAAAATATGTATAAAACAAGGCTGGAAATAGTGTTTACATTATTTTCTCAAACTACAAATCTCCAACAAAACAATCTTATCAGAACAGAATAATGTTTCTTTTACGTTAATACAACACAGAGTAATGCAATGTAAATAGACGCAGTTACATGCTAACTCTGTTAGATCTACATGATACATATGCATGTTCTTCAACAGCCTGCTGTGAGCAAGTGTTTGCTAGAATAAAGCGACACAAATAATGCATGCAAAAATAAACAACAGTGACACACGTGGCGTAAGTCGCCAATTATCAACATTTACAACCGCCATCTTAACACCAACTATTTAAAAATAGCAATAGCTATATGAAATAGTGCTGCATGGAGTAGTAATAAATGCTAACTACGCATTCACGATTTCAGCTATGTATAACAAACAGTAGAAAAAATTACCACCGTCATCTCAGTAGGAAAATCTACTATGGTAATCGTCTACTGTTACAAACTTGCTGAAATATAGTCGCAGAAATCCACGTAGAGACAGCAAACCATGGCGACTCGGGTAACGATATGGAAGAGCAAAATCAGGAACCTTTCACGGGGTAGTTTCCAATTAATGCGCTAGAAAATGCACACGTTGTACTTTCCAACTAACGCGCACGCAAAGAAAACAGTGGGTTTTTAAGGCGAAAAGTGAATTTCGCAGCACGACAAAATAAAGGAGGTCGAATTAAGTTTTAAACTACTCTCTCAGTTTTTTGCATATAGAGTAAGATACAACTCCCACTAAGTGTGTATAAAATTTTACCAGTAGAAAGGCAGCCTTTTTAAATAAAAGAAATACGTCTAAAACATCACTTTAAATAAAACTTCGTGTTTTTTAAAGTAATCATTTACTGAGCCAAGTGGCTTTGTGCCTGAGGTTACGTGTAAACACACGTTTAACACGCGTCAAGTACAAAAGCAGCTGCCCAGAATAACATCGCATCTATTATGTATTTATAACCACGTAAATCAACTTTTAAATAGGTCATGGATATTCGCAGCGCTTCATATAGTATATCTTTCTAGGTTTTTGTGCAAAATATTCAGTCGATTTTGCTGTAGGCTTGTGAAACAACAATAATAATATGAACAAACTAGCAAATTTTGATTTTGTCTACAATCGTGAAATCATTTATTTTGCTTATTGTCAATGTTTGGGTGGTCTTATGTATTGAAAAAGAAGGTTTTGGGTGTTGTTTCAAATATAAGTCTGCTTTTAAGGTTGTCCCCCCCCCCCGAATGTTCTATTAGAGTTTTGAACAAATTCCTATGCAATCCCCATTATGAACCAATATCATGGTTCATGATTATCAACCCGAAGAGACCAGTTCGATGGCTGCCAAACAAAGCTGTGCAAATCTATAAAAGGATGTCTCCTAGCAACGGAGTTGTGTGGAAACCATAATCACACTCAGCCATAACAAGAACTGAGTTAAATTTAATTTTCTAAGTGAATAACAGTAGTGAGAAGTTGTCAGTATGTACTAAAGCATTAGTTATCCTAAAAATACCAAAATTATTTATCATACTGCATTACCCTTCTTTCTAATTAAAAGTTTTAAACATGTGTATACGACTTGTACTAATCCACCCAAATTCAATATAGTATTATGTTTGTTACCATGTATGATGATACAGCATAGTATAAACACTGACTTAGTACAAGTTGCAAAACGAAACGTGCGATCACATTTCAACTTTACATCTTCTGATGAAAATTTGTTTGTTTTTGAATTTCGCGCAAAGCTACAAGAGGGCTATCTGCGCTAGCGTCCCTAATTTAGCAGTGTAAGACTAGATGGAAGGCAGCTAGTCATCACCACCCACTGCCAATTCTTGGGCTACTCTTTTACCAACGAATAGTGGGATTGATCGTCACTTTATAACGGCTGAAAGGACGAGCATGTTTGGTGTGACGGGGATTCGAACCCGCGACCCGGGCCTAATACATTTGACTAAAGAGCATAATTTCCGCCGAATTGCGGTCTGGAATCAGTTTTGAAAAAAAAATCATAAAATTCCTATTACCTCCCATTGCAACCCTGTTCCTTTTTATTTAGCATTTAAGTTCTATTTGAAAATAACCTATAATTTTTCTGAAAAGTTGCTGCAGCCATGACTCTATTTTCCATCCCAACTTGAGTGATATCTATAGATCCGGCTCGTCTTCCACGTTTTCTAAGTGCTGCAGCTTTCAAAAACACTTGAAGTCCACGTGAGAAATCGTCGAGATCCTCCTCTTCTTCTATTTCACTAGAAGTGGAACAACCAGTATATGATAAGTCAAAGCTTCCAAGGATGTAAGATGACCACAATACTTCAAATTTAGCAACTACAAGTGATAACCAAAATAGAATAGAACAAGCGATTTCATCCACACGGGTATTCCGAGATTCCTCTGTATGAAGAAAAACTATATTTACGAATACTTTTCTGTCTGTTTTTTCTTTGCTCAAACTTATTATTGTAAATTTTTTATTAAATTTATTTATTTATTAAGTGTAATAGATAACTTACGTCAATTTTTACACGTTTTCCCCTGTTTAACACCACAAAAACAAAATGGTGAGGTAGTTTAAAACTAATGGGCTGTAAACTATAGAACTGTTTATCTCGTCTGTTCATAGGCTCGTAATTAGTGGAATTATTTTTACATTTGAGTTTCTAAGTTTTGTTTAGAATCATTTATCAAGTTTAATGTAATTATAGTTTTTTAGTGCTTTTCCTTGTCATTTTCCTTTGCGGTTTCAAGTCGGAGTGCTTAGTTTATTTTTTCCTGCTTTAGTCTTGATCAATTCCATTAAATAAAAGATAAACAAAGTAATGAAAAATAGTAACTTTAATGATTTTACTGAGATGGTGGAGAGTTCTTAGGTTTTAAACTGCATCTAACTAACATCTTACACTAAGTAAATGAAGGTAATATTGTAAATTTTGTAGCAAGTGAAATATATTGCTTTACATTTAGAGACAGTGTTAACTTTATGGCAAAAAAATTCAACTGCTTTTTTTTTTGTTGAAAGAGAAATTCATTATCATGTTCGAGTGGAACACAGTTTCGTCGAATAATTGTAATTTAGGCAAAAAAAAAATATTTTTATCTCTGAACATTTCAACCTTCTTCTATGTTTCTACCATGCTACTGAGCATTCTAGATCATTTTTCTAAAGATTCTGACCCTCGCTCGTTGTTTAACTTAAGGAACAGTGAGATATTACAAGAACAATACAAAAACATATTAACTAACAAGTGAGGGGGTCAGATCTACCAAAGATTTGTGATTATTAATTCGCTTTATATAAATATATCAACTATGTATGATAACCAGCACTTGCCAGGGAAAATCTTCTTAACATATGACAAATGAAATATACTAGAGCTATATGATAAATCACGATAAATAATACCGAAGATATTCAAACATGATAGGCCTAACTTTCTAAAGATCAATGATAACGCCCCCCCCCCAGTATCACAGCGTTATGTCTGCGGACTTATACTGCTAGAAACCGGGTTTCGATACCCGTGGTGGGCAGAGCACAGATGGCCCTTTGTGTAGCTTTGTGCTTAATAATAAACAACAACAACAACAATCAATGATAACCAACACGTATTAAGATTACGCCTACCAAAGGCTTGACAGATCAAATGTATCAAAGACAAATTGTAATGAAAATTCGATAGATCAAATATATACCGAAATGTGATAAACTTATCAAAGTTGCATGGCAAATACGTGATAAGTTAGTTATATATATATTATAAGCCTTGATAATTATCGCCGAGCCGAGATCGTTATACAAGATCCGATAGCCTTTTTGAATGTTTTAATGAATGAAAGTCGATTAGTTAAAAAATAAATTATTTTGCCAATTTTTAAGCATTATTCCTGACAATAATTTTTAAGTTAATTAATTTTGATTATTTTTGTCTTACCTATTAGAATCTGTTCCGTCTTCTGAGTCACTAAAGACATCGAAAAAGGGACTTTCGCATGGAGTGTTCAAACCTGAATTTGGAAGTTTCACACTTTCACATGTAGATGGTGTGCTGATCTGACTAAGCCGAAAGTCTCCTTGTAGTTTCTTATCGTATGCACGGCCGCCAGGGAATTCGTTACTGATAGGAAAGGAGTCAGTAATTACTAGCTGGTTTTACATTATAAATGTGATTCAAACCTTTTTTTTTTTCTCATATTCTTATAAAACACATTTTATTTCTTCACTGTTAGTTTTGCAGTCATTTACTGCCAGTTTTATTTCTTGATTTCCTAAAACACGCATGCTGTTGAATTTGAATAATAATTTCAATGGCGTGAACTCTAATAAGAGCACACTTTTCATTTTTACGTAAATGTAATGTTTAACCTTTAATTTATACACACGCATTTACAAATTAAATAGCGTATGCACATATAGTATTAAAAAATTAGTTGTGAATCGTATATACATTAGTGTTTCGAAAGTTACGAGTTTTGAGTATTTTTTGCCACGGCTGAGCGACTTATAGAACGGCTCTGAGTTGTTCTTGTTGTTTTTCCAAGTACAAACTTTTAGCTCACAGCTACATCATTTCTTGACCGATTTGAGATCTAATTACAGTTGGACTCAGGAGGTCAAATCCTTTCGATTGATGTATTGACCACGCCCAAAGTCTCACAGATTAATTTATTCTAATCCTGCCTAAAATAATTTCAATTTGAGGGTAGGCTGGTAGAGATCCTGATGAATAATAAAATCGAATCGGCTATACGCACGTCCCATACTTGGTGTTACTGGCGTACAAAAATATAACTAATAAAAAACGGAAACAAAGGTTTCATAGATTGATTTACTCTAATCCTGCGTAAAAAAAAAAATATCAATGCCGCGGCTATTGACTATTCCCTCTTATTTACTTTAGTTCTTTTAAACAAAAACCAAAAAGAGATAATCGTTTTTATATTCATTCATTTCAGCATTTATCATAACGAGAGCGCTTTCGTTTCCGACGGCGGCCAGAGAGCGAAATAAAAACAGTTCTTAAAAACCTGTTGTTGATTGTTGTTGTGAGAATTTTTTCAATCCTATGACAATCACGTTAACTACTCGTAATCAACCGAAAAAATAAATGAGTGAAATTAAGACTTACTGATTCAGATGTATACAACAAGATTAATTGATTGTTTGTTTTAAAAACAATAACAAAAAGGAACTAAAACTCATTGTAAAACTATTTCGTCAGAAAAACAACTATCTCCTTGAACATTTGTATTCTTTTTTATGATAAATTGTCTACTGTTTAATTCAACAAAATGACAATTTATTTTAGACAGTTTAGTAAACACAGTATTTTGTGTACTTGAAAATATAGTTACGAGGAAAACACTTAATTGGTACGTTTTCCGAAAACAGCAGTCATGTTTTTAATTCTACGAACAACTTTACTGATGTTTCATTTTTTATCATAATCAATAACCCTTTATTGCTTTTGACAGGTGGCGTTGTGCTATATTAAAGTTTAGCTTTTCCATTAAGCAACAGTGTTGTATTTCATGTCGATATTTTAGGAAACTTAATTTGATTATCTAGACAAAAACCATTTATTGTCCTGAGCGAATCGTCCACTGGGCCACGTCTCAACCGATGTCGAGAACAAACCGTAAATCCAATTACGTATAGTTATCTGCCAATTCCTCTCAGGCAGTGTACGCGACAGGTTTTGTAAGACGTAAAAAAAAAATGGTGGTTGCATTACATGAGGCTTCACATAATAAATAGAAAAGAAACTGCATTGTCTATTGTAGGTTTCAGATGCTCTATTAGGTAAAGTGAAGGTCTTTTACAAGTAACCATCACAACCGATATTGTCTCTTCATAAAAATCTAAAGAAGAGAAAAGACCTTCAAGTTAAATTAATCTTTAGTCCAGTCACTCGAATACACAGTCTCTAAGAATGTAATTTATACGCGAAGTTTAAATTTTGTTATTGTAACGTAACGTCATTTTCAGGCGAAGTTGCCTAATGAAGACTGTTACTTTAGATTAAACAACAATAAAGGCATTACTATACATTTTCATGCTTTGATAAAAATGGAATTTTAATAAGTTTTTATTGATCTTGAATTTTATAATATTTGTCTACGGTTTCACCCAACACGGAAATTTTAACACTCCTCATTATTAAACTAAATAATATATAGGTCAGATTAATTAATATGATAAGGAATTATATTAAAAACATTTTGTTAGCTTTCTAGGGAAACTAACTACTGTTGTATGGTAAATACGAAGTTAGAGTAAGTTTTAAAATAGCAGCATTAATGTTATGAGAAGCTAATTAATCGAATAAAATAGATATATTTTCTTAAAGTCTTTTAAGTTACAATAGCTTTCACTGTTTTTGAAATGAGATTTCACAATTTTGAAAATAAAAATAGAACTTTGAATTAAAAAGAATTTTAAATCTAACTGTTTAAAAAATGTCAATTACGATATTAAAAGCAAATACCTGACACATATAATAGTGTTACGTCTCCGTTCGTTAGTTAATTTTCCGTAAATTTCGTTCCGACGAAACTTTAGCGACACAAGTCCTTTCTTAAATAAAACTGGTTTA